TTTCAAAAGATAGTCCAAACCATTGGTCATAAGATCAGAATTTTTTGGGTTAAGACATTGACTTAACAATGTCAAAATGTTGAACGAATACTCTTCCAATGTAAAAAGTCTTGTATCAATGAAAGATTTGAAATTAGTTGTCTTGAAGCCTCATGATTGTTATGTATTGATGTAGTAGTTTCTTCTTTTGGTCATACATAACATTTTACCTAAAAATATGAGACAAGTCATAATTAGGCTTTGCTTGTTCTTCAATGGCTTATGCAGTAAAGTAATGGATCCTCAAAAGTTGGATAAGTTAGAAAATGAAGTTGTTCTAATAATATTATGTCAATTGGAGATATATTTTCCTTATTCATTTTTTGACATTATGGTTTAGTTAATCATCCACTTGGTTAGGGAGGTAAGGTTGTGTGGTCCTATCATTTTTAGGTTGATAACTCAATTGAGCGATACATGAAGATATTGAAAGGGTATATGAAGAACCAACATTATCTAGAAACATCCTTTATAGAAAAATACAATGTAGAGGAAGCAATTGGGTTTTATACTAAATAAATATCTCAAACTAAATCTAGAGTCATTCTTGAAACCTATCACCAGGGATGAAGAGTTGTGAAGGATACAATAGGTGTAAAATTGAAGAGCATGTTGTGCAGAAAAGTGCTTCAAACTCGTTTGTATATATTATATAAACTCGACATACCTTTTTCTTAAAATAAAAAAAAGTTGAAAAGATATCAAAAGAGTTCAAAAAATGAAAAGTGAGTTTCTAAAATAAAGAAAACAAGAATTTTCAAGAAAGAAACCACATGTGAGTAAATACTGTGTGAAAAAGAAAGAATTCTACAAGAGTCATTTCAAAGTTTTCTCATTCAAGAAGATAAGCAATAAATGTTCAAGATTATGGGGGAAAACTTGTATACAAAAGGTTTATTTGTTCCAATCCTAATTTTGACTGTTTAATGATCTCCAATAGGGAATTATGTCTCAAGATAGTGTTTCTTGAGTGTACCAGTTATAGAAAAGGTTCTCTAGTTAAAAGGATTGGTAAGGGATTCCTATAGGGGTTACGAGGTTACCTTAGGATTTAGGTTGATCGATTTGTCTTATGGTGTGTTTGAATGAGGAATTTTACAAATTCAAGGAATTTTAAATTCTTGGTATTTGAATTACTTTAATTTCAATTTCTATCATTCTTAAAATATTTTGTTTGGATAAGTCAATTCAAATTTCTCAAATTTTAAATTATTGGATTGGATATAATAATTTAATTCCACCATGGTAAAATTGATTTTAAAAATATATTTATATGCTAAGATTTTTAAATTAAATTTTATAAAAATAAATATTAGCTAATTTTTAAACATTTAATAATTTTAAAAATTAATATTAGATAATATTTAATAATTTTAAAAATATTTTTGAATATTCAATAATTAAAAACATGAAGAGATAAGAGATAAAATGAAATATATAAGGGAAATAAGAAAAGAAAATGAGGAATTTCAAATTCTTACTTTTTTGGGAGAATTTGAAATTCTACTATTTCAAGGAATTTAACAAATGCTTGAATTTCAAATTCCTTGTAAATTCTTCATCCAAACAATGTATTTTACCTCAAAAAATTTGAAATTCTTCAAATAAATGAATTACTCCATTTAAATTCTTCATCCAAACACACTATTATAGTAATCATATTTTGCTTATAGTGAAAATCCTAAGATATAAGATTGATCATAGAAAACGAGACATAACTTTATGTGGAAAGTGAACTAATAAAAATCTTTGTGTAAATTTCTTTATCTCATGCTCATTGTATTGGTTGAATATTAATTCTAACATGTGTTCTTAAATGTCGATTTTAATAAAATGAGTGATTGATTAATAATAAAATTTTCTAAAGGTCAAGAAATCATATATTCAAGAACTTAATTTGAAAGTAATTTTTTAAACTATATTAAAAGGGTTAACAAGATTTCATTGTACTTAAAGTTTTAAATTCTAAAAAAAAAAAAAATTAACCACCAATTCAACCCCTAACATGCATGAATCTTGTACAAATATACAAGTCCTTTGAAAAAACATTATAAAACTTTTAGAACGTGAAAACTTTCTAAATAAATGCCCCACTACTAAAGGAAATGTAAGTTTAATTTCCAACATTAGGATCTAGGGAAGATGCAATTTTATTTATGATCTTGTTCATTATTGTTGAATCAATTTTTTTTTTTCACTTTTCACTTCTTTTTTTCTTGCTTTTGATCTGGCCTATTGTTTTAAGCAGGGACGGACGCACGTAGTCACTTGTGGGGGCAGTTGCCCCCACTAACCTTTCAGTTTTTTTTTAAATATATATAATCTTATATTATTTTTATTTAAAATTTAAAAACAAAAAAATTAAAAAGTTAAAAAAGTTATAAAATTAAAACTGAATTTAAGTTTAATTGCAGTTATCTTTATGTGAGAAAGAAATTTTTTTAAAAAAATTAATATGTTATAATAATTAACAATAAATTACATATTTTAGAGAGAAAAAAATTTAAATTGTAAATCAAGATAAAAAAAATTATAAATTAATAATGTATGCATTTTAAGTTTTAAAAAAATCATAAGTTGTTATTAACCTCTTTTTGGATATTTTTTATTTTTATTTTATTTTTACTTTTTCCATTTCTTTTTATATTTTGAGGTTCTCCTCTACCTCTCATATTTTAAAGTGTAGAAGAGTGAAATTAGAAGAAGAAAAAAAAACAAACTTCTTATTTCATCTCTACTCCTTGCTTGAATAGCTAAACTATGAGTTGCTTCTTTGTGTAGCATGTTTAAATTCAAGAGATTTATTTTCTATATTTGACAAGGAAAAGTTGATTCGTTTTGCTCAATTTTATTTTTTTGAATTTTCTCCAGTTGAACTTTTGATAATCAACTTGAAAATTATTTCATAGATGTATGTTTTGATAGTGCCTTTTCAAAATTAGAAAGGATTGGTGATCTTTCTATGAAACTTGTGGAGACAAAAAAACATGTTGTATATCCATTGGTATATTTGCTTTTAGAGCTATCCTTGATACTACTAGTAGCAACTGCATCAGTTGAAAGAGTTTTTTCTGTTATGAATATTATCAAGAATCGGATGCCCAGTCGTATGGGAGATGAATGATTAAATGATTATTTAGTTACTTATATAGAGTGAGAGATTTTTGATAATATTAAAAATGAGCAAATCATTCAATGTTTTCAAACTATGAAAACTTGTAAAGAACAATTATGATATGTATTTATTTTTATAAAAAAAATTATATTTTAACAAATTTATGTATTTAAATATTGTCCTACTACTTAAAATTTTTAGACCCGTCACTGATTTTAAGATCATGTATGAAAAAAGAAAGGGTTGTTAAAGTTGGCTTATCAATCTTGACCTACACCACCGCATCCTCTGCTTCACCCTCTTCTGTATACCTTTCCTTCTCATTCACTAAATTGCTTCCATTTAGCAGTGTAATTCAACCCTTTGTCAAAAATCTTTCTTCAATTTATTTATTGTATTGCCTTGGATTCAAGAAATATTTTAAATATTTTAAGATGAAATATTTTGTTTAAAGGAAGAACACATATAAGAAATTGAAATTCAAGAAATTCTTTCAAAATGAAACTTTCTAAATTTTCTATAAAAAATGCTAAGATTTGAAATTTTCATATTTATTTTTTCTTTTGTCTCATTTATGTCTTTTATCTTTCCTTTCTCTCTTTACCCTTCCTTTTCTAATTTCCATCCTTTCTCTTGCATCTTGCATTTTTTATTCTCCCCACTTTCTTTTCTTTCTTCTTTTCCTATTTCTTTTCCTCTTTACTTTTTCTCTCTAACTTTCGTCTCTTCTCTATTTCGTCTCTCTCTCTCCCTTCCTTCCCTTTTTATCTTTTCTTCATCTCTCCCTCTTTTCTTTCTCCTTCCATTTATTTTTTCTCTCTCCGTCAATGTCTTCTCTCTTGTTTCTGCACTCTCTCTTTCTCCAAACTCCCTTCATTCACTTTTCATTGTTAAAATAAAAATATCAATGTAATTATTTACGTTCAAAACATATTTTTTTGAAACTACTAAATGTTTTTAATATTAAAATTGTTTTTAAATTATTAAATTTCTAAAAATTGGCTAATGTTTATTTATAAATTTCAGTCTTACAATTTTAATATTCTAGTATTTTAACTTACTAAGTTTATAAATTTAAAATAAAATGAAAAACATTTGAAATTTTGTTATATAGATTCAAATTGACGTATAAAATATTTTTATGATTATCCATCAATTTAAATCAATCAAACAAAATATCAAATAATTTTCAATTTTTTTTAAAAAAATTGTAGACTTGATCTATAAATTAAGAACTTTTAATTTAACGATTAGATCGATCGTTCAAATTTAATATAGTATATGAATTATTAAGTAAAGAAGTCTACCAAGATCATACTTTAGAGTAAGTGAACCTTTCCTCTCTATATGTGTGTGATTCAATATGTTTTCAGTTATTTAACTTTTATTAGTTTTCAATTTTAGTTCATACACAAATCTTTTATTAATTTTAGGCTTGGACTTTTTTCAATTTTCATCTTTAAACCTTGAAGTTTTGTTTTTATTTTGGGCCTTAGTGTCAAAATTTGTTATTTATAGAACGGGACTAAAATCAAATAAAATTTATATATATAAGGAGCATATATTATGAAAATGTCATTTTTACATGAGAATGAAAATATATAATCTCAATCCTTAAATAGAAATAAACAGATTAGATTTAAAGATTATAGATAAAGTTATCACGTATAACTATTATTGTAGTTGTGTCCATCATTGTCATCACTACCATCATTGGACCTACCGTTAAAATTTTACTTATGATGAAAATCTAATTTCCTTTGCTATACTAATAATTTAAAATTTAAACAAAATTAAATTGACTTATCTAAATAAAGCATTCAATAAATAATAAAAAGTTGAAATTATGATAATTTAAATTTTATTTCAAATTCATTAAATTTCTAAAATTTCTCATAAGAATTATTCGACTCCTCAAGCGATCATAGAAGTAACTAAAGAATCCACCAACGATAGACTTTGACAAGTTTTGAACCCTAGCTAATAAGTAGGGGGTTCACCCTTTGTTGTGACTTGTGCCAATCGCTGTTGACTTGAATTATTAATTAAAACCTATGACAAACAAAACTTCATCCTAACATTATTGTGATGAATACAAATTTTACCCATACAAATCATACTTGGTTGACGAACAAAGGGTAACTAACACTTGGCATATGTTAATTAAGGTTTCTTGGTGGCTCTAGATGCTGCCTGGTACCTAGAAGCATATCTATGAAATAAGTTGAGTGCATTACTAGTGAGTTCAGCAACATTTTGCGCCTTAACCTTTATAGTAGCAGTCCTCTTACTCATCCTATGACCAGGGAACGATTGAACACAATAGCTAGCATCAGTTAAGGCAGTGCTTACCCATGTTTGGACATTGCTTATGTGCCACAATAAGGTGTCATCTATGATAGTGCGTTTGTTCAATTTGCGGAGTTCTTTGATGGCTTGGTAAAGTTGGTCTACACTATCACTCATTTGCATGGAACAATCTTGCACAATAAGGAACACCCTATTACCCTTGAATTCCTCAAGTTCCTTGGCCACTTTTAACAAGTAGCTCCTTGTTTTCAGTGCTCTAGAGAGGCTCACCGAGAGTGCAACATGGGCTAAGTCCTGAGGACCATCTATGGTGAATTTGGCAAACCTGGCTAGGCAACGTATGCACAGATCAGGGTACCGGGTTCCTTGGCAAGAGGACTTTATGTAAGCCATTGTTTGGTTTTGGTTCCGAGCCAAAGATGGCTCAACCAGTGCAAGACATGAAAAGATAGAAAGGAAAGTGACTATGAAAAGAAGGTTGATGTGTGCCATATTAATTTTGCCTCACATCTGAAGCTTGAACAATTTGTTTTGACTGTGATAGGAAAGAGTATGAGTTGATCTCAAACCTCAAATGCAGATTTTAGGTTGATCAAAATCACAAAGAAAATGATGTTTTTATAGTTTAGGAAAGGGCGTACATTCCCCCTAATGAGTTGCACGTGCCTTAATTAATGCTGGTCAACTTTTCTTGCCTTGAATTTGCAACTTATAAGTATTGACGTTGGATTATAAAATGTCCTAACCAAATTGTGTAGAAAGTAAAATGCGTTATGCGATGCTTATAGAAAGGAAAACGTTTAAACACTCAACGGAAATGGTTTAATACTTTAATTAATAAGATATAGTTCATGATATTGTACTGGAATCATGGTGCAAAATGGAGCTAATTCGGCGTTGCCAACGGGTCTTTGTCCACTGCAAAGAGGAAAGGTAGTATTAAACACATGCATGAACATTAATGTGCAATAAAGGGTTCATTATTGGATGCTTAATTAAGAATCGTGAGTGAGCTAGCTAGATGTATATGTGCGTATAACAAATAGTTTTAGTAGGCCGAGGTCCTCACCATTTAAACTCATTTTTTATTTCAAAATTATATATTAAATAATATTTAGAAAATGTTTAATTTTTTGACATTTAGGAGGTGTATTGGATTGAGATTTCATAAGACTTTTTTTTAACAAAAAGAATAACTCTTATGAATTTTAAAAAAAATTGTAGGAATTAAATGACTTTTAACATTATTTTTAAAAGATTTTGTAGGAATATAATGACTTTTAAATTTTTTTAAAAGACTTTTTTAATCAAGATTTTGTAATATAATAATTTAATATCCGATCTCAATCCATTCACGAACTTGATACATCTTGATTGCTTGTTGCCCACACCATTATAGTGAGGACAAAAGCATACTAGCTACTTAAACTTTGCAATATATTCTTACACCGCCATTGACCTATTTCAGCTTTGGAAATTTCACCTCCTTTTGATTCTTCGTATCTTGCGGAAAGTACTTCTCTAGGAAAATACTTTAGAAGTTATCCTAATTGACCAAAGTCCCATCAGCCATCATCCTTTATAGTGGGTTTTTCCATTATAATTTTGCATCTACCAAAAGCTTAAAGGTTGCCAAAGCAACCTTCTAATGATTAGGACACTCCTTCGCCTGAAATATCTTTTCCACTTCAAATAGCCATTCCACAACTCCATCTGAATCATATCCACCCTTGAAAATAGGTGGCTCACTATGTTGAAACCTAGATATATATATATATAGTTATAAAGAGAGAGAGAGTGAGAGTGGAGTGATCTATTTATTTGAAGAGTAAGTTTAGGTAGACATATTTTACTCAATAACTCATTATTTAGATCAAATTTCAATAATCTAACTGTTAAATTAAAAGTTCTTAATGTATAGATTAAGTTTATAAATTTAAAATAAAATGAAAAACATTTGAAATTTTGTTATATAGATTCAAATTGACGTATAAAATATTTTTATGATTATCCATCAATTTAAATCAATCAAACAAAATATCAAATAATTTTCAATTTTTTTTAAAAAAATTGAGAGAGAGAGTGAGAGTGGAGTGATCTATTTATTTGAAGAGTAAGTTTAGGTAGACATATTTTACTCAATAACTCATTATTTAGATCAAATTTCAATAATCTAACTGTTAAATTAAAAGTTCTTAATGTATAGATTAAGTTTATAAATTTAAAATAAAATGAAAAACATTTGAAATTTTGTTATATAGATTCAAATTGACGTATAAAATATTTTTATGATTATCCATCAATTTAAATCAATCAAACAAAATATCAAATAATTTTCAATTTTTTTTAAAAAAATTGTAGACTTGATCTATAAATTAAGAACTTTTAATTTAACGATTAGATCGATCGTTCAAATTTAATATAGTATATGAATTATTAAGTAAAGAAGTCTACCAAGATCATACTTTAGAGTAAGTGAACCTTTCCTCTCTATATGTGTGTGATTCAATATGTTTTCAGTTATTTAACTTTTATTAGTTTTCAATTTTAGTTCATACACAAATCTTTTATTAATTTTAGGCTTGGACTTTTTTCAATTTTCATCTTTAAACCTTGAAGTTTTGTTTTTATTTTGGGCCTTAGTGTCAAAATTTGTTATTTATAGAACGGGACTAAAATCAAATAAAATTTATATATATAAGGAGCATATATTATGAAAATGTCATTTTTACATGAGAATGAAAATATATAATCTCAATCCTTAAATAGAAATAAACAGATTAGATTTAAAGATTATAGATAAAGTTATCACGTATAACTATTATTGTAGTTGTGTCCATCATTGTCATCACTACCATCATTGGACCTACCGTTAAAATTTTACTTATGATGAAAATCTAATTTCCTTTGCTATACTAATAATTTAAAATTTAAACAAAATTAAATTGACTTATCTAAATAAAGCATTCAATAAATAATAAAAAGTTGAAATTATGATAATTTAAATTTTATTTCAAATTCATTAAATTTCTAAAATTTCTCATAAGAATTATTCGACTCCTCAAGCGATCATAGAAGTAACTAAAGAATCCACCAACGATAGACTTTGACAAGTTTTGAACCCTAGCTAATAAGTAGGGGGTTCACCCTTTGTTGTGACTTGTGCCAATCGCTGTTGACTTGAATTATTAATTAAAACCTATGACAAACAAAACTTCATCCTAACATTATTGTGATGAATACAAATTTTACCCATACAAATCATACTTGGTTGACGAACAAAGGGTAACTAACACTTGGCATATGTTAATTAAGGTTTCTTGGTGGCTCTAGATGCTGCCTGGTACCTAGAAGCATATCTATGAAATAAGTTGAGTGCATTACTAGTGAGTTCAGCAACATTTTGCGCCTTAACCTTTATAGTAGCAGTCCTCTTACTCATCCTATGACCAGGGAACGATTGAACACAATAGCTAGCATCAGTTAAGGCAGTGCTTACCCATGTTTGGACATTGCTTATGTGCCACAATAAGGTGTCATCTATGATAGTGCGTTTGTTCAATTTGCGGAGTTCTTTGATGGCTTGGTAAAGTTGGTCTACACTATCACTCATTTGCATGGAACAATCTTGCACAATAAGGAACACCCTATTACCCTTGAATTCCTCAAGTTCCTTGGCCACTTTTAACAAGTAGCTCCTTGTTTTCAGTGCTCTAGAGAGGCTCACCGAGAGTGCAACATGGGCTAAGTCCTGAGGACCATCTATGGTGAATTTGGCAAACCTGGCTAGGCAACGTATGCACAGATCAGGGTACCGGGTTCCTTGGCAAGAGGACTTTATGTAAGCCATTGTTTGGTTTTGGTTCCGAGCCAAAGATGGCTCAACCAGTGCAAGACATGAAAAGATAGAAAGGAAAGTGACTATGAAAAGAAGGTTGATGTGTGCCATATTAATTTTGCCTCACATCTGAAGCTTGAACAATTTGTTTTGACTGTGATAGGAAAGAGTATGAGTTGATCTCAAACCTCAAATGCAGATTTTAGGTTGATCAAAATCACAAAGAAAATGATGTTTTTATAGTTTAGGAAAGGGCGTACATTCCCCCTAATGAGTTGCACGTGCCTTAATTAATGCTGGTCAACTTTTCTTGCCTTGAATTTGCAACTTATAAGTATTGACGTTGGATTATAAAATGTCCTAACCAAATTGTGTAGAAAGTAAAATGCGTTATGCGATGCTTATAGAAAGGAAAACGTTTAAACACTCAACGGAAATGGTTTAATACTTTAATTAATAAGATATAGTTCATGATATTGTACTGGAATCATGGTGCAAAATGGAGCTAATTCGGCGTTGCCAACGGGTCTTTGTCCACTGCAAAGAGGAAAGGTAGTATTAAACACATGCATGAACATTAATGTGCAATAAAGGGTTCATTATTGGATGCTTAATTAAGAATCGTGAGTGAGCTAGCTAGATGTATATGTGCGTATAACAAATAGTTTTAGTAGGCCGAGGTCCTCACCATTTAAACTCATTTTTTATTTCAAAATTATATATTAAATAATATTTAGAAAATGTTTAATTTTTTGACATTTAGGAGGTGTATTGGATTGAGATTTCATAAGACTTTTTTTTAACAAAAAGAATAACTCTTATGAATTTTAAAAAAAATTGTAGGAATTAAATGACTTTTAACATTATTTTTAAAAGATTTTGTAGGAATATAATGACTTTTAAATTTTTTTAAAAGACTTTTTTAATCAAGATTTTGTAATATAATAATTTAATATCCGATCTCAATCCATTCACGAACTTGATACATCTTGATTGCTTGTTGCCCACACCATTATAGTGAGGACAAAAGCATACTAGCTACTTAAACTTTGCAATATATTCTTACACCGCCATTGACCTATTTCAGCTTTGGAAATTTCACCTCCTTTTGATTCTTCGTATCTTGCGGAAAGTACTTCTCTAGGAAAATACTTTAGAAGTTATCCTAATTGACCAAAGTCCCATCAGCCATCATCCTTTATAGTGGGTTTTTCCATTATAATTTTGCATCTACCAAAAGCTTAAAGGTTGCCAAAGCAACCTTCTAATGATTAGGACACTCCTTCGCCTGAAATATCTTTTCCACTTCAAATAGCCATTCCACAACTCCATCTGAATCATATCCACCCTTGAAAATAGGTGGCTCACTATGTTGAAACCTAGATAACCAGTTGGTTTCAACAACATTCATGTTTCCCAAAGGCGCTAGCACATAATTATTTCTCCCAGTCATACTCTTTTGATTCACAAAAAAAACATATAGTTTAGTCCACAACATTAAAGCTACATTAAACAATTTAGAGTATACAAATAGCATGATAAACACAGAATACACTAGCCGGATGAATTGACATACTTTGATACCACTAAATGTTACACCCTTCTACCCACAATTAATAAATAAATATAATATAAAAATTATGGAAAATAAAATAGAATAATAATAAAACTTCTCTCACCAATACTTTGTAAAAAGGGTTTACAATGTTTTATTCAACACTTTATTAATCGAAGAA